GATGGTTTTTACATTTTTAATATCGGCCTGATATCTGCTCTGGCTATAAAAAAATGATCACCTTTTCACAAACACCTGATATCATCACTATTTGATGGTGATTCATGAACACATGCTTATGGTATACTCAGAAACATTAAATGAACACTGCTTTTAGTAAAGTTTATGGAATGATTTGTCACTTTTATTTACATACATACCAGGTTGTAGTATAGTACATGTGCTAATTTCATCGTCTTCAACACCCCTTTATGGGATTCACTCCACCGTCGAAAATACAATGTGGAGTGACCCTGAGGTGTTTTAGACTTGAAAATAGCTTCAACACCCCTTAATGGGACCCACTCCACCGTCGAAAATACAATGTGGAGGGGCCCTGAGGTGTGAAATAACCACGACAAAATCAATTCCAGTTTCATAAGAAATCTCCACTAAAAGTAGGGTCTAATTTGTGTTTCTCACCATATCAGAAGCATCTGTTTATGATTTACTGTCAAATAGTTACGAAACCACTTGTTCCTGAATACATGAGTGCATCCTTTCTTTCCAGGGTACAACTTATATCAAGTTGTTGCAAATGTAAAATACTACTTCTTGAATATTGGATACAGTTAAAACATAAATTGATACATCAGTAGGTTATTGTGTGTCCTATCATCAGGTTTATACATATAGATACATCAGTGAATTGTGACATCCCTTGTGTACAGGTACATGATGCACACAGGGAATATTAAATGGTCAGTCCACAATGAACAACCAAGGGCCATGATTATACACTGTAATATTTCTCCATGCCATTATGGTAAAATACCACTTCTCCATCAGTTTCATCAGTAACTTTAAACTGTAAGTGTGCTTTTATTCTACACATATTCAAACAAACCTATGGCAATGAATCTGTCTTGGTTTTTATCAAATTAGAATGAGTGACATGTAGTACATAGAATAATTGAGAAAATGCCATAAGCTGATATGAATTTCTTTTCTTTTAACTCCGTTAAAGTATATACATGCTAAAATCTATACATAGAAATAACATATACACAGAAAAAGAAATATATATTAACAGTATACAAAACAAAGGTCATTATTTATAAATATAGATGATAATAATATGTCAGTGTCTTTCATTTAACAAAATTTACAAATTGATTTAGATTAGCACTTTTCAGATATACATGTTTATAATTCTTCAATATATATACATAATATGTACAGTGCACCTCATGTACATATGATATTATATACAAAATAAATAAGCATGTGCAATAACTTGACAAAATATCAGTGTCTTTTCAATCAATAAAATGGCATCCATTATTTCATCAAGTAGAATCAATGTACTTTTCAACAGCAATAATCCTTGAAAAATCAGAAGTTGGCCTCAGGTCCACATTCGTTATAATACAAGTAGAGTCCATTCATATTTTGTAGAAGATGCTTTCGCAATAGCAGTCACAAAGATCGATACAGGTCTATAATTATGATAAATACAGGTACAATTCATTTGTTTATATGTTGTTTAATGCAGCACTCAGCAATATTCCAGCTATATGATGGCAGTCTATGAATAATCAAGTCTTGACCAGACAGTCCTGTGATTGACATCATGAGCATCGATCCACACAATTGTGATACAATGACATGCATCAACCAAGACGGTGAGTCTGACCATCCGATCCCGATAGTTGCTTCTTACCACAAGCATAATCGCCTTTTGTGGCAAGTATGGGTTGCTTAAGACCTATTCTACCCCGGATATTCAGAGGTCAGAACAAATCATGCATCTTTTATGTAAAGTTGCTGCTTTCACAGCTACAAAAGTCATTATTTATAAATACAGATGATAATAATATGTCAGTGTCTTTCATTTAACAAGATTTACAAATAGATTTAAATTAGCACTTTTCAGATACATGTTTATATTTCTTCAATATATATACATAATATGTACAGTGTACCTCATCTACATATGAAATTATACACAAAATAATTGAGCAGTGAAATAGTTTGACATGAACTATATTCTGACAGATATTTCTTTTCTTTTAGATCAGCTAAAGTATATACATGCTAAAATCTATACATAGAAATAACATATACACAGAAAAAAAAATATATATTAACAGTATACAAAACACACACACACTCACTCAACAAAATAACAATTTGGTATTTTGTATGTCGGACTAAGGCCTATAATTATGATAATAAAGAACAAGTCTTTCATGTTTTGTAGAAACTGCTTTTGCAACAAAATTCATTATTTATAAATACAGATGATAATAATATGTCAGTGTCTTTCATTTCACAAGATTTACAAATTGATTTAAATTAGCACTTTTCAGATACATGTTAATGTTTTTCAAAATATATACATAATATGTACAGTGACCTCATGTACATATGATATTATACACAAGATAATTGAGCATGTGCAACAACTTGACATGAACTAAATTATAAATATCAGTGACTTTTTCAATCTATAAAATGACATCCATTGCCCATCATTTCATCAAGTAGGATCAATGTTATTTTCAACAATTATATTCCTTGTAAAATAAGAAGTTAACCTCAGATCCATATTCATGATAATCTATTCATATTTTGTAGAAGAAGCTTTTACAACAAAAGTAACAAAGATAAATACAGGTCTAATTATGATAATACAGGTACAATTCATGTGTTTGTTTATTGTTTAACGCAGCACTCAGCAATGTTTCAGCTATAAGATGGCAGTCTATAAATAACCAAGTCTGGACCAAACAAACCAGTGATTGACATCATGAGCCTTTATCCACCCAATTGTGAAACGATGACATGCATCAACCATTGGCGAGCCTGACCACCCGATCCCGGTAGTCACTTCTTTAGGGGTTTGTACAATTCATGCTCATTTTGTGAAAGTTGCTACTTTCACAATAAAAGTCTGATAGGTGCAATAACATACCATTTCATCAAGTAGAATCAATGTAATTTTCAACAATTATATTCCTTGTAAAATAAGAAGTTGGTCTCAGGTCCACATTCATGATAATTCAAGTAGAGTCCATTCATATTTTGTACAAGATGCTTTTACAACAAAAGTCACAAAGATTAAAACAGGTCTAATTATGATAATACATGTACAGTTCATGTGTTTGATTATTGTTTAACGCAGCACTCAGCAATGTTTCAGCTATATGATGGCAGTCTATAAATAACCAAGTCTGGACCAGACAATCCAGTGATTGACATCATGAGCGTTGATCCACCCAACTGTGATACTCACCCATCGGCGAGCCTGACCACCCGATCCAGGTAGTCACTTCTTCAGGGGTTTGTACAATTCATGCTTAAAATCAGATAGGTGCAATACCAGGCCAGTGTCTTTTGTTGAAACGAGATTTACAAATTTGATAAACGAGATTTACAAATTTGATAAAATAGGCACTTTTCAAATGATGACATGGTAAAGATTGTTTTTCATCACTGTTATATTCACAGCTATATTCATAATTTGATTTCAATAGCTTCATGATACCCAAAGTATGTAGGAAGAATCTGAACAGATACATTCTCAAGTCCTTTCACATATACATGGTCAAGAAGCGTTCCACCTTCAGTAGTAGGTTCTGAAACCATCTGTGTAAATCCATTTGATTCCATCATAGTCTGTATTGAAGATGATGACAAGATATTTTCATTGAAATCACCCATGATGATTGATCGACCAGAACGGTTATCAAGTTCCTGAACAAGTTGAAGCATATGCTTTCTGAAAATATCAACTGTGTATGAGCTTGGCCTGTAGATAACAACAACATGAGCTTGTAGTTCCATGACGTACATACACAGATACTCTAAATTAGATACTGGTAACTGAGTAAATTCACATGTTTTGACTTCACTAGAATAAACTCCAACACCACCATGTCTTTGATTTTTCAGTTGCATCAGTATTGGTTCAGATGATTCATAACACTTTGATCTGGGTTTATGATGTAACGTAAATCCATCAAGTTTTGGTTCATCAGCTGGATGTGAATCAGATAACCATGTTTCTGTCAAGCAAATGAAATCAGACTCTAAAAACCTCTTGTCATTCTGCAGATCTTTAATATGTGATTGAAGGCCCTCAATGTTTTGCATAATTAGCGTGCATGTTGGATGACCATCATAGATTCTCTGATTTCTTGTCATGAACTTTGGCATACTAGACACTGCTGCTTCAACCTTTACACTGCTGTATATGACTGATTCTTTGAAATTCTGAATAATAAGACCATCAAGAGAAGATACACGACTTAGTGCTACATAAGCTTGTCCTGCTGCAAATACCTTGTGTAATGAAACAACAGCTTTGTTAACAGTTATCCCTTGTACTTTGTGTATGGTGCAAGCCCAGGCTAGTTTCAGTGGAAATTGTCGTCTAATGCCTCCATTGTTTGAAACAGTTTCTTCTTGTGGCTTAATAGGAGTACTGTTAGGATCTAATTCAGATGCAGTGCCTTCCATTCTTCGTAATTTCTGACCAACATCAATTTTGTCAAACACAATATGTATTTTTGAAGGAAATCTTTCACCATCAGTCAAAGATATGTGGCTTATAGTTCCAAAGACTCCATTCACAAGACCATCTGATGTATCAATATTCTTTGTGATCATCACACGCGCACCAATTGCAACATTGAGACTTTTTTGTAAGACTGAGTTATGAACTTTTCCATGAGGTATTTCTCTCTTTTCAAGTTTCCCTGTTTTTGCATTTCGTGAGAAATCTTGAGCGTCAATACAAATTGGATCTGAGCATTTAGAATGAAGAGCAGCAATATTGTATTCATCAACCTGAGCATTTGTTGCAAAAATGTGAATGCTTTCTGGATCATCTTCACCAGTTTCTTGTTGTTTGAGCATATGTATATCTCTTGTGTCAAGAGGGTCTGACTTTTTTCGTGTTCGTAACCGATTCAGAAGTTGTGCAAATGCAGGGTCCTTTTGTCTCATGATCTCTGTCAATTCTGCAATAGAAAAATTATCATTCCACAGGTCATATCCATTTTTGGCAACATGCAATGGTGTTCCTTTAACGGGTGATAACTGATAAAAGTCTCCAACAGCAATTACAGATACATTTCCAAATGGTGAATAATCAGCAGTTTGTTTGATCTGTCTCAATCTACCATGAATGTATGATAACAGCTTGTGATCAACCATTGATATTTCATCTATGATTAGTATGTGGATACTTTGCAGCTTTGCTCGCAGACTATTGATCTTTTCCTCACCAAGTGGCTGGTATGGCAGTTTTGCATCAATTCCAATTGAGAGTGCACTGTGTATCGTGGAAGCATGTATGTTAAATGCTGCAATACCGGTTGGAGCTACCAAAAGCACAGAGTTATCATCTGGATTATTTTGCATTGGGGCTAGCAGTCTAGTGCATTCATAGCAAATTGCCTTGATCAAATGGCTCTTTCCAGTACCAGCTCCACCAGTCAGAAATAGATTAAATGCATCAGGATTTTTGCCATTCCTTTTATCCAAACACCACTGTCTTATTTTATAGAAAACTTCAGCTTGTTCTTCATTCATTGATCTCAGAATAGTTTCTGCCTCTTGTTTTGACATTGTACTCTGAAGTACCTCTGTTTTTGATAACGTGTTATCCTTCAGTAGCAAATCAGGCATGTTCTTAGCAGTTTCACTTTCACTTTCCTCATCGGTCGTACAAGTGTGTTCAACTTCACATGCTATTCTTTCAGATTCAGTTTCTGGACAGATTTGAGCCCAAGCATCTTCCAATTGACCTGTTTTGTCAAACAATTCCTCTGCTTCATCAATAACATCACCATCTTTCTCAAACATTGCTTTGTTTCTGTCAACAATCTCTTTCACAGTTTCCAAAGGACAGTTCTCAATCTGAACAGCACCAGTTTCATAGAACTCTTCATACGAATTGAATGCGGGTGGTTTTAATTGTGCATCAAATGTGTATGGCAAGAATAACTGCAATATACTGTGATAGTGTTTTTCTGGATTCTTTGTACGTGAAAATCTGGCATATCTGATAACTGCTGCATCAGTCCGAGTACGTTTTTTCACATGACCAAGGCCATTTTGTAATGTTACTACTGGACTACGGCGTTTGTCATCAGAAACATTTGATACTTCAGATTTTGGTAGCACTCTGTATTCTGAGCAAAACTTTGCAAGACACATGTTATCAAACTCGTCACCTTTGGGTCTGCTCTTGTATCGATCAACAATGCTTGTCATCCACATTTCATCTTCATCTAGTTCACCACTCTTTCGTTTGTTCTGCAGTGTTTTAAGAGGCAAACTCATTCTGACAGGGTCTACGGTTGGAATGAACTGTACTTTACGTGATCCTTCCTTCAATCTCAAATTGCAAACTCGAAAGACAGCTTCCTGAGCACTCACTTCTCTATTGTGTAGGTATACAGCACCAAGTTTCTTGAGAGCAGATTTTGCATCAGAGTTATTCTTGTTTGCTTCTGTTTGTGCATGATTCAACAGTAATCCCATTTCTCTTTCTGCCTTTGAGATATATGAAATGATGTAGACAACACAAGAGTAGGCATCAACTATGTACTGAATATCCATGTTCGCATTCCAACATCTGAGCAGATCTGCATTGTACTGATTGACCCATACATCATTGGGATTGCGTTTCATCACAACATTTGTCTTTTTGGATAGAGTATCACATGCTAGTTGAAATATGTCTTGCGAAATACCAATGGCAGAGAACAATGCATCAACTGACTCAAATGTTTGCTCATCATTTGTTAATCCTTGCCAAATCAGTTTCAAAATTCTTTGAGCATCTGGTATGGACATAAATTTCATATTGAAAAGATCTTCACAGCACTGTTTCAAGGTTTTGGGCACAACATCTTTTGGTTTATTGTCAAGACCTCCTGCTCGTGATATGAAAGTTTCATTGCTTGGAGGACGTGGAAAATTGAATCTGCAGGTTGTGCCATTTTTTTTGCATGTCTTTGAATGTCTTTTACTATGTTTTTGTACACTGTTGACAATATCAAACAATTCTTCATCATTCTCAACTGAAGGCATATCACATGTGACATATTTATCAATGAAAGATGTTACTGACTCATCATTATCGTCATCAACCTTTGGAGCATTCTCAACCCAGAAAAGGCAGTGAGTGTGAGGGGAACCACGGTGCTGGAATTCTACACGATAGAAGTAATCTTTTATCTTTCCAATTGGTTCAGCTGGTGACATGATAACCTCTTTCAAGAAGCAATGGAACCTTTGGTCAAACATTCGTGCTGCTGTCACTGGATTTTTCCTTAGTATAGAACATTTTTCAGACCAGTCAAGTTCAGTGGCTTTCCGTGTATCACCTGCTTCTCTGAGTATCGTTTCAATCATTTCTGGCCATCTCATATCAGCTGATGAAAATGAACAAAACCAAGTTGGAATGCCGAGTTGTCTTATCATAGCAAATAAATCTTTCTGAGCAGACTGCCAGTATGGTGGAGTTCCTCTGATAGGTTTCAAGAACTTGTAGCCTTCATCACATTTTAATATCTCTCTCAGAGAATCAGAATCTGTAAGATTTTCAGATGTAACATTTTTACCATGTGACTGTGATCCTTTTCGCATTGCAATGGAAACATTTGACATAACTTGATCAATTTCAGAAAGATACTGTGCATAAAATATGTAGTCAGTGTTTTGAGCAAATCTGCTATCAGCATTCATGAGGCGTGTATGTAGATAACGTGCAATTGTAATTCTCTCTTCACGATCATCATGGAATGTAGGGGACCCTGATGGGAACAGAACTGGAAATGACCTTGCTTCATTGCTTTTGTCTGTCAGTAGTCGAACAGGATTATTTTCTTCAGCAGGTGCAATACAAGTTATCTTTTCAAAATATTGATCCATAACTTCTTGGCCAATATCAAGCGGTTGTAGACATGTATTCATGAGTAATCCATGATCTTTCTCAGACTCTTCATTTTCATTAGTTTGTGTGTTTGAGCTATCCTTTTCAACCTCAGGTAATGTTTCAGTATCAGAATCAATAATTTCATCTTCCTCATCAATAACTGGCAAGGGATTGACCCAATCTGTATTAAAATTCACATCACTGTACCATTTGTTAGTTGTTTGAAGATATTCCAAAGCATTTTTAACATGAGCCTTGTTGACAAACTGGTATTGATAATGGCCTTTGTAAGTAATCTTCCTTTTCAGTTTCACTCTAATCATCTGATCATCTATATCACTTCTCGGTAACATACTTGTGCTTTTCTGAATGTTAGAGGGAACACATACTACAGGTCCGTGTACGCCATGTTGTCCACCTTTTGGTAATGCCATCATTTTCATGAAAGGAATATTCAAGGCAATCAAGTGCTGCTCTAGTTCATTGAGACATTGCAGTTGCATAGGAACAGGGGTCAGTTCAAGGTTGTTAACAACAGCTTCTCCAGGCATTTTACCAGACAAAAGTTTCCTATGACAAGTATAGCAAATCCATAATGTGCCTTCTGGACTATCGACAAATGAACATTGGTCATCACAACTGTCTGAGCACCTGTGTAGGTAATTTTCTGTGATGCATCTCTCAGCAACAGTGGCAATATTACTTCCTTTGTTTTCATACACTGTTCTTTTACATTGTACAACCTGTTTTTTGAAAAGTCTTCGATGACACACTGAGCACACAAATTCTGGACCTTCAGATATGTTTTTGGCAAAGGATTGTGTAACATTTTCCATTATTTTCCTTTCTTTGGTTATTTGCAGAACCCTGGCAGATTGTCTCTCTTTCAAATTAGTTCTGTGTTCACCACTAGCTTTGTATTTGGCAATGCTTGCTGATTTAACAGATTCCCTGTGCTTTGCATCTTTTGCATATTTCTTGATACTGTTAGTTTTTACATTTTCTCTGTGCTTTTCATCCTTTGCATATTTCTCTGTACTGTTGGTTTTTACACTTTCTCTGTGCTTTTCATCGTTTGCATATTTCTCTGTACTGTTGGTTTTTACACTTTCTCTGTGCTTTTCATCGTTTGCATATTTCTCTGTACTGTTGGTTTTTACATTTTCTCTGTGCTTTTCATCGTTTGCATATTTCTCTGTACTGTTGGTTTTTACACTTTCTCTGTGCTTTTCATCGTTTGCATATTTCTCGATACTGTTGTTCTTTTTATTTTCTCTGTGCTTTTCGTCCTTTGCATATTTCTCTGAACTGAGATTTTTTAGAGCCTCCTTGTGCTTTGCATCTTTTCGATACTGCTGACTGCTGTAAGATTTTATATCTTCCTTGTGTTTTGAATCAGTGGCATATTTCTGACTGCTGTACGTTTTAACATCTTCCCTGTGTTTTGAATCTGTGGCATATTTCTGACTGCTGTAAGCTTTTACTGTTTCCTTGTGTTCAGAGACAGTAGCATATTTGTTAGTACTGTATTTTTTGACAAATTCCCTGTGTGCTTCATCATCTTTGTATTTATTTGAACTTTGCAGTTTCTTTCTGTTCTTGAAATCTAGGTCAGTGTTGTACTTTTCATTCTCTTTTGCAAGTCTTCTCTGTTTCACATTCAAATTCAATGTTTCAGAATTATCTTTCTCTAATTCTCTTTTGGCTCTCATATATTCTCTTTTAGCTTTTGCCTGTGCATACTTTCCTTTTGGTTTTTTAGTTGGTCTGTGATCAGGTCTCTTTTCTTTAGAATCAGAACATTTTTGTTTTTTCAAGACTGACTTTCTGTCATTCAGCAAATCTGCAGATAGCTGGTCAGCATTTCTCTTGATATTCATATGTCTCTGACAATATTTGTCTGTACATGAGTTTCTCAAAGCATCTACTGTGTTCACACAAACAACCACTTCATAATGTGATCCACCAACATGATTTAGATATATGCCAGTTCCTGTGTTCACTGTGTCTGAGTTTAACTGCCTGCTTGAATATCTCAGCCATCTGTTATCAGAGTATGTGCATATGTCAGTGCCCAGTAGATTTGCAGCTGCAAGTATTTCAAGTTCTGTAGCCCATGTTCCAACATACCACATTCTGGATTGAGAAATGTACTGTTCAACTGACTCGTAACCTGGTCTTAAGAAGTGATGGAAACTTTGAGCATGTTCTTTTAGATGTGTCACAATAGCCAGTCTGATTTTCCTGTGGTTGTTTTCTTTGCCCGAGATTGCATATGAAAGACTTCTAAAGAAGCAATTGCCATCACCTTCAATGGATACTGTTCTGCATGGTACATCAATTTCTACACCAAATTCATGATCTTGAGACTTTGCTACACATTGGTGTTGAATATCAAGCTTCTTGCATAACTGTTCACATACATTTGATGATACAGGGCAGAATAGCATTGCATGTTGGTCAGTTCCAGTTTCTTTCAAACTACCATCTTGTGAGTTGTCGTCACATTCATCAATATGCATCATCTCATCTTGATCATTCTCATTTGTTTCACATGCCGTATCATCACTTTGGTCAATCTCAATCATATCTAGTCTACCATCCTCAGCAATATGCACTACATCATCATTGTCATTGGTATCACTTGCATTTTCAGACTGATTGTCATGTGGCTGTATATCAGTGCTAATTTTCATGCCTGTCATTTCAAATTGTGAGAATGCATTTAAGTTCATTGACCGAGCAAGATTCAAACAGTGTTCATAGACCTGAAGCAGACTTGTGTATTGGATAAGTATGCTAGTGCCATTAGTGACTTGTAATCCTTCAGTGTTCCGGGAATGGGAATCAAACACGTGGTATTTGTTATTTCTTTCTATCACAGCAAATGTTGATCCTCCAAATGTCATAAAAGTAGCATCATGTTGTGAAAATATTGTTTGAAGTGCAGCATCGAGACACATTTGTTGTGGAATATCAACAATTTCTTCAGTATCTTTCATCACAAAGCCAATCAGAGAATCGCCAGACAGAAATCTATATTCTTTGCCAAAGAAGTCTACTGTTGGACAAATATCTGACACAAGAAGGTATGCACTACGACTAGTTGATTGTCTCTGGTTTATAGAATCTTCATAAAGTTTGTTTCCTCTACAAAGAACTGTGTCAAGATCATAGCTGTCCCATGTGGAAATGTCCTTAATTTGATTGTACATCATTGCCATTGCACTGTTAGCTACACACTGTCTGCCACTGTTTTTTCCAAATCTAGTGTGACCTTGATTGAAAGAACCATGTACAGTCACATTTGTGTCAATATCAATCATTTCCACACTACCATCCTGTGAGTTGTCTTCGAGTTCATCAATATGTACTACATCATCATTCTCATTGGTATCACTCGCACTGTCAGACTGATTGTCATGTGGCTCTACATCCTGTGAGTTGTCTTCGAGTTCATCAATATGCACTACTTCATCATTCTCATTTGTATCACTCGCATTGTCAGACCGGTTGTCATGTGGCTCTACATCCTGTGAGTTCTCTTCGAGTTCATCAATATGCACTACATCATCATTGTCATTGGTATCACTCGCATTGTCAGACCGGTTGTCATGTGGCTCTACATCCTGTGAGTTCTCTTCGAGTTCATCAATATGCACTACATCATCATTGTCATTGGTATCACTCGCATTGTCAGACCGGTTGTCATGTGGCTCTACACCAGTGGTAATTCTCATACCTGTCATTTCAAATTGTGAATTTGCATTTAAGTTCATTGACCGAGCAAGATTCAAACAGTGTTCATAGACCTGAAGCAGACTTGTGTATTGGATAAGTATGCTAGTGCCATTAGTGACTTGTAATCCTTCAGTGTTCCGAGAATGGGAATCAAACACGTGGTATTTGTTATTTCTTTCTATCACAGCAAATGTTGATCCTCCAAATGTCATAAAAGTAGCATCATGTTGTGAAAATATTGTTTGAAGTGCAGCATCGAGACACATTTGTTGTGGAATATCAACAATTTCTTCAGTATCTTTCATCACAAAGCCACTCAGAGAATCGCCAGACACAAATCTATATTCTTTGCCAAAGAAGTCTACTGTTGGACAAATATCTGACACAAGAAGGTATGCACTACGACTAGTTGATTGTCTCTGGTTTATAGAATCTTCATAAAGTTTGTTTCCTCTACAAAGAACTGTGTCAAGATCATAGCTGTCCCATGTGGAAATGTCCTTAATTTGATTGTACATCATTGCCATTGCACTGTTAGCTACACACTGTCTGCCACTGTTTTTTCCAAATCTAGTGTGACCTTGATTGAAAGAACCATGTACAGTCTCATTTGTATCAGTATGATGGTCATTGGTAACAAAATCTTGATCATAACTCTCTGGATCATTGATGTCAGTATCAGGGTCATAGCTTTCAGGATCATTGTTATCACTGACATTGTTCTCATTGGCATATGGGTCTTTTTGAGCATTTTGATCTTTTTGAGCATTGGCATTTGAGGCATTGGCATTTAAGGCATTGGCATATGAGGCATTGGCATTGGCATTGGCATACGAGGCATTGGCATATGAGGCATTGGCATTTGAGGCATTGGCATTTAAGGCATTGGCATATGAGGCATTGGCATATGAGGCATTGGCATTTGAGGCATTGGCATATGAGGCATTGGCATTGGCATATTTGGCATTTAAGGCATTGGCATATGAGGCATTGGCATTGGCATATGAGGCATTGGCATTGGCATTTGCATTGGCATAGGAGGCATTGGGATAGGAGGCATTGGCATATGAGGCATTGGGATAGGAGGCATTGGCATATGAGGCATTGGCATTGGAGGCATTGGGATAGGAGGCATTGGCATAGGAGGCATTGGCATAGGAGGCATTGGCATAGGAGGCATTGGCATTTGAGGCATTGGCATTTGAGTCATTGGCATTTGAGGCATCGGCATCATATGTAGCATTTTGTGTAAGGCAATTTTGTGTAGCACTATTGTATGAGCTTTCAGCGCATGTTTTGTTCGGGTTTTGTTCTGTTGCACATTTATTAACGAGGCCTGCTTCCTCGGTATCATTTTTAGGGAGGTGATACCCCTCCATCTGTTGCAGCATCTTCTTCGGTGGCATCTCTGAAACAGAAAAAAAAGAGGGATAAAATAATTACCCCCCCTCTTAATAAATATCCCCCCCCCCCCCCCCCCAAAATAAAGTTAAGACCCATCCCTTTAATAGTTTCATACTGCAAAATCTTCCCTAAACTTAAAAACTCATAGATTATATCTTTTCATATAAAATCCAAAGATATAAATACTTCTTTTGTTCAGAACTTAGTTTACGACTGTTGAATCTTACATAAAATATAACTTCACACAGGACTTTCACTCATTATAAGCAAAGGGCCAAATTACACAATACATGTCCAAGGTTTCAATTATTCCAGAGGTACAAATGTAGGGTTTGTTTTCAGATTTACGAGCTTTTAGCTCTAGGCCCCCACCCTAAAATTATCCCTGTATATACTGGAACAGACTCCTGAAAGTATATTTATGAACTTAATGTACATATCTCCCACACCCCCAAAATATACTGTACCTTAGTTGAAAAAGAACTCTTCATTTCCAATAATGGTGGAAGCATTCATAAAATATGATGGAACATTTCTTTTAAAATCTCATCAACAAAAGGAAAGTATTACTTAACCTCAGATACCAAAATTTGATATGCCATGGAAAGTGACCATCACACTAAACATTATAAATAGTAAAGTTATAATTTGTTTCCGGCTACGTTCAAACATTGAATGACTACATTTGACTAGTAGTGAACTCAAGTGAACTGAAAATAATTATACAATACTGAACCTCTACCTCACCACAATTAGTTTTACACCCAGCTAACCAACCAGATTGCAATGATCACATCAGCCTTAGTGTTGACTCAAAGTATGATTACTAGGAACTGATTGATTCAAAATGTCAACATTCCTCAACCCCCATTTTCAACAATCTGTGACTTGGCCAAGCGTCAAAATTTATTTTTGTCTGGTATGGTCAACTCATATATATCTATTATGATCAGTTAATTCTGGTAAAATCAAATGTCTTTTTGAGGGTATCACTGGCAGACAGCAGCATAAAGCAGGAGTTTGAGACAATTACCTTTTCAATCCAAGAATTTTATCTCATTGTATATCAGGATGTCAACAGACCACATAAAGTCAGTATAATATATTAATTTATTCACATATCAAATAAATGAATATTGGTAAGGTTTAAGGGTTGTTTTTCAATGTTATTTTTGTTGCATTACAAGTACAGAATTGGACAAAATTATTTTTGTTATTATAGAAGCCGATGTCAATGTATGTAGCCCAATTCTGAGCACTGCTCTGCTATTCCTGGAATATTGAAAAAGCAGCAGAAAGTCATTCTCACTCTGTCGACGGTGAACGCATTTTATTTTATTTATTGTGTTTTTAGATTGTGTTTTTAGATCGTGTATGAGTCCCAACAATAATTTCCGTGATTCGCTGTGTAGAGTTGCATCCTTTGGCATGCCAGAAACCTATAATTAAGTTCGAATCCCGGTTCGTGGGTTTCACCGAAGTGTTAAACAGTAAAGACCTGCATCACTTCAGGCTTTCCTCCCACATTTAGCTGACACGCCGTGATATAACTGGAATACTGTTAAAAGCAGTGTTAAACCAAACTCACTCCACATCACATCAATGGTACAAAAATGACATAACACTGTTTACGTAAGTCTTTACTGTGACAATCTTACGAAATAGGTCAGATCTTCCATCAATTCAGCCTTTGATTCATTGTAGTTAGCATTCAGCAATGTTGCAGCTATATGACCAGGCAATCCAGTGATTGGTATTGTTAACAAACAATCCACATCCTCTTGCATGGTAGGTCTTGACGATTCATCGTTGATTCATGCCACTCAGCAATGTTGCAGCTATATGAAGGCTGTCTGTATATAAACTGGACCAGATAATCCAGTGATTGGTATTGTTAACAACAATCCACATCCTCTTGCATGGTAGGTCTTGACGATTCATCGTTGATTCATGCCACTCAGCAATGTTGCAGCTATATGATGGCAGTCTCCAAATAATTCAGCGATATTGCAGCTAGATGGTAGCATATAAATATTCAAAATGTAGAAATTGACACAACACATTGTTTTCTCTACCTTTATATTTCATAAGAACTAAATAATGCCACCCTCAGCAATGTTGCAGCTATATTGGACCAGACAATCCAGTGATTGGTAATGTTAACAACAATCCACATCCTCTTGCATGGTAGGTCTTGACGATTCATCGTTGTTTAATGCCACTCAGCAATGTTGCAGCTATATGAAGGCAGTCTGCATATAAACTGGACCAGACAATCCAGTGATTGGTATTGTTAACAACAATCCACATCCTCTTGCTTGGTAGGTCTTGACGATTCATCGTTGTTTGATGCCACTCAGCAATGTTGCAGCTATATGAAGGCAGTCTGCATATAAACTGGACCAGACAATCCAGTGATTGGTATTGTTAACAACAATCCACATCCTCTTGCTTGGTAGGTCTTGACGATTCATCGTTGTTTCATGCCACTCGGCAATGTTGCAGCTATATGATGTTCTTATGAAATTCAGCTATATTGCAGCTAGATGGTAGCATATAGATATTCAAAATGTAGAATTTGACACAACACATTGTTTTCTCTACCTTCATTATTTCATAAGAACTAAATAATGCCACACTCAGCAATGTTGCAGCTATATGATGGCAGTCTGCATATAAATTGGACCAGCATCCTGTTCTTATGAAATTCAGCTATATTGCAGCTAGATGGTAGCATATAAATATTCAAAATTGACACAACACATTGTTTTCTCTACCTTTATTATTTCATAAGAACTAAATAATGCCACACTCAGCAATGTTGCAGCTATATGATGGCAGTCGGCATATAAATTGGACCAGACAATCGTTGATTAACAATCCACATCTTTTTTCATGGTAGCTCTCGACGGTAGGTCTTGGCGATTCATCGTTGTTTGATGCCACTCAGCAATGTTGCAGCTATATGAAGGCAGTCTGCATATAGACAATCCAGTGATTGGTATTGTTAACTACAATCCACATCCTCTTGCATCTTTGTTTTATGTCACTCAGCATATTGCAGCTATATGATGGCAGTCTCCAAATAATATGGACAGGACCAGCATCCTGCTCTTATGAAATTCAGCTATATTGCAGCTAGATGGTAGCATTAGATATTCAAAATGTAGAAATTGACACTCATTGTCTTTTTCTTTTTTATTATTTCATAAGAACTAAATAGTGTTGCAATGTTGCAGCTCTATGGCAGTTTGCATGTTGGACAAAACAATCCAGTGATTGGTGTTGTGCATGACAATCTGTTTAATACTACACAGCAATGTTGCGGCTATATATGGCAGTCTGCAAATAATCTGAACAGAACCAGACAATACAGTGTTTGGCATTGTGAAAAAACATCAGCATCTTTTTGATGCCATAAATCAGCAATGTTGCAGCTCTATGATGACAGTTTGCAAATAATCTGGACTGCACCAGACAATCCACATGATTGGATGTCACTCAGCAATGTTGCAAGTTGGACAAAGCAATCCAGTGATTGGTGTTGTGCATGGTAGGTCATGGTTGTTTAATGCCACACAGCAATGTTGCGGCTATATATGGCAGTCTAAAAATAATCTGAACAGGACCAGACAATACAGTGTTTGGTATCAGTGTTTTGATGCCACAATCAGCAATGTTGCAGCTATATGATTGCAGTCTGCAATTCAGTGATTGGTATTATGAACAACAATTCACATCAGCATCCTGTTTTAATGCCATACTCTGCAATATTGCAAGTAGATGATGGCAGTCTGTACATATATGTACTAAATAATGTCAGTTGTCACACTCAGCAATGTTGCAGGTTGGACCAGTGCCAGGTTTTATAAACAACAATCCCAGGCAAAATCCATAGATTCATTGATGTTAAGTGCTACTCAGCAATGTTGCAGCTATATGATGTGAATAATCTGGACTTGCCCATCAATCCATATCATTCATTCAGGTATGATAAGAAGTTATGTTTGCTGTTTCATTGTTGTTGTATTATGTTGCAGAGCCGGTAAATATTCAAATTTGGCATACAGATTAGTATTGTATTGTCAACAACTCAGCAATATTGCACATTAATATGAAGCATTGCTGAGTGACAATACGTAAATAATTGTTGTTCAAACCAGGTTGCTCAGGTACAGGTTGCTGTATTGTTTCATTGACACACTCGGTGCTATTGCAGCCATGTAATGACAGCTAGTAACTATTAAATCTGGCCAAGACAATCCAGTACACAATCAATATGTTTCTAATATTTCAATATACATGCTATACTTACTCATTAATTGCGTCCAAATCACGTCCTCTTCAACAGCTCCTATGACTCCAAATTTCCCTTGGAAAGCAGCTGGTCACAGTGAGATGTCATCTTTGTATACTGGTTCAGAAGTTGTCATGTTTTTGTTTGTTTGTATATTGTATGATACAACAGACCGCAATAGTGCCACAGACAGCTCCCTGTAAATAATAGTCACCAGACAGTCCAGAGATTGACATCTGTGAGCAACGATTTACACCCTTGGGGTTAATTGCCCCCCATAGGCAAATATGTGAAGCCCATATCTGGTGTCCACTGTGGTGAATATTACTGGAATATTGCTTAAAGTGGGGTAAAACAATACTTACTCACACACACACTTGAAAGTATTTCAATTTGTTCTTGAGTATTTGAAAGTTTGCAGATGCTGTTGGATAGCCCAGATAAAGCATTTGCTTGTAATGTTGAAGGATTGAATCCCAACATGGTTCCAATTTGTGAAACCCGTTCTGATCTCCTCCGCTGTGATATTGCTAGAATATTGCTAAAAGCAGAATTAAACAATATTCACTCACTTGAACGTAAGGGGACCAATGTGTGAAACCTGTTTCTGATCTCCCCCGCTGTGATATTGCTAGAATATTGCTAAAAGCGGAGTTAAACAATACTCACTCACTTGAAAGTAAACATTTATTTCATTCTGATATT